CGGGAGCGAGCGCGCGGGTGGCGTGTGCTCGCTCGGGAAACCGAGCGCTTTCGCTGGTGCTGCTCGCCCGCCCTCCAGCTGGAGCTCAGCTACTTGCTCTAAGCGTTCTGGCGGCGTTGAGGTCCATGACCTTGACCAGCACTGCTCCGTACGCTGCGAGGCTAAGGAACGTTGGGAAGCTTTTATTTGATTTTTTTTTCCAGTCCTCGGGATAGCATCATAGGAGCTGTGGGCGGAGGTGGAGGCAGCAGGATCAAAGGGAACGTGGGGCCTGGGAAGATCAGTAGTAGAGCACTTCGCTAGTATGGATGAGGGCCTGGGCTTGCTTCCCTAGCAAGAAGTTTAAAGTTGTCTTTTTTTTTCTTTTTGGTTTTTCAAGACAGGGTTTCTCTGTGGCTTTGGAGGCTGTCCTGGAACTAGCTCTTGTAGACCAGGTTGGTCTCGAACTCACAGAGATCGGCCTGCCTCTGCCTCCCAAGTGGCGTGCGCCACCAACGCCCGGCTTAAAGTTGTCCTATTAAGAGGCTGTTTTAGGCTGAGCGGTGGTGGCGCACGCCTTTAATCCCAGCACTTGGGAGGCAGAGACAACCTGGACTATAGAGTGAGTTCCAAGACCGCCAAAGCTACACAGAGCAACCCTGTCTAGAAAAACCAAAAACAAGGACAAAAAAGTAGATAAAGTAAAAAACTGTGTGCCATTAAAATGGGACGTGCCGAAGCAGACTTCTCCCAACCATGTGGTTGCTGAGAATTTAACTCAGGACCTCTGGAAGAACAGTCACTGCTCTTAACTGGCATCTCTCCAGCCCTTTCCCAGCGGGGTGCCCAGAGGGCATGTGGGTGCTAGGAATAGTTCTGCAAGGACAAGTTCTCTGAATAGCGTAGCTGTCTCTCCACCTACTCTTGCTTTGTGTTTGTTTTTCTCTGGTAGGTGGCCTTCCCATCCTAAATGCCTGTTTGCCCAACCCCTCATCATTCCTAGTTAGTAATTAAATGGATGTAACACATGTGAGTCTCCTTATTCTTACCCGAGTTGTGCTTGAAAGATGGTTTGGTGGTTTAGAGCATGCACTGCTCTCACAGAGGCTCTCAGTTCAGTTCCCAGCACCCACCTAAGGTGCCTTACAACCCCCTTAATTCCAGCTCCAGAGGAGTCACACACACACACACACACATATATAATTATATATATATAATTTAAAGGTTCACATATCCACATCATAGCAATTCTAATGACTCAGTTCCCAAAATATACAGCATGTTGAGACAGGGTCTCACATAACGCAGCAGGCTAGATTGAACTGGGTATGTAGCTGAGGACAAACTTGAACTCCTGATCCTACTGCTTCTGCTTCCCTGGTGCTAGGATCTAAGCGTGCATCACCATGCCCACTTGTCAGGTCAGACATGGTAAGGTAACTTTCACCTCTAATCCCAGAACTTCAGAGGCTGAGGCAGTAGGATCATGATGTGTTTTGAGGCCAGCCTGGGCTATATGAAAAAAAAAAAAATAGATCTAACCTAAGTTCAGATGATGTCCTCCAGCTGGTCCTTCCTGTCTCTGCATCTCCCTGAAGGCACAGACTTCATAACTCTTAGGACAATGTCTGTGCTTGGTGGGCAGCACTTGATAACTGTTAAACTGGGGAGAAGGCTCAATGCCAAAATAGCTTGGTCCATACTGCAAAGAAGAGCTTCAATGTCTGTGAACAATTTGAATGGCTCCCTTCAGGTTTCTTGAGACCAGGAAATGCTAGAACAAATGAATCTTCACATCCAGGAAGGCTGGAACTCACAACTCAAAGCAGAAGACACTGCCTGCAACCTAGGTCTTAAAACCACACATACCATAGGCTCAGAGGGAAGAAACTGGACATTTTATTCTGAGAAATCCTGACAACTGGGCCAAGTGGGTAGAGTTGCTTGCAGCCAAGTCTGAGGACCTGTGTTGGATTCCTAGGGCCCCATGGCACAAAGAGAACTAACTCCTGCAAGTTGTCCATGACATCTCCACAGGTACCATAGCAAGTTCCCCTCAATGTCCAACAAAATAATACAAATGTAACATTGAGAAAAAAAAAAAAAAAAAAAGCAAGGGGCTGGAGACAGACAGCTTGTCAGTAAGAACACTTGCTCTTGCAGAGGACTCAGGCTTGGTTCCCAGTGCCCACAAACATCTGTAACTCCAGTTCCATGGGATTCAGTGCCGTTTGGCATCCTCAGGCATGCATTCAGTATACATACTTACATACATCAAGCAAAACAAATACACAAAGAACTAGTAAAAGATATTAAGAAAAAAAAAAAAAAACCAAGCTAGGTGGTGGTGGTGGTGCACACCTTTAATCCCAGCACTCAGGAGGCAGAGGCAGGTGATTCTGTGAGTTCAAGGCCAGCCTGTTCTAAAAAGTGAGTTTCAGGACAGCCAGGCTACACAGAGAAACCCTGTCTTGAAAGAGAGAGAGGGAGAGAGAGACCCAATTATTTTTCAAAAGCAATGAAATTTGGAAAAAGATTCCCAAGGTTAAATAAGAAAATTTCTGACAAGTGCTTTCTTGGTTTGCAAAGTGACACTGCTGTTCCTTGACCCCGCCTCCTTCAACTGCACAGCTCTGGAGTTCACTCTCTCCTTGAACCAAGCTGTGACCTTCCCATCTTATGGTCTGAAGCCATGTTCTGAAGGTCCCAGAAAGAGGGGGTGTGGCTGAGTGCTAGAGTGAATGCTGAGTCTCCAGGAGACCTGGGGTTCCATCCCAACAACAACAACAACAACAAACAACAACAACAGCGCGCGCGGAGTCTCCAGGAGACCTGGGGTTCCATCCCAACAACAACAACAACAACAACAACAACAACGCGCGCGCACGCACACACACACATGCACGCACGCACACACGCCCCACCCAGTGCATGAAGAATTAAACACAATCAAGCATCAATATTTATTAACACAAGACAAAGGAAACACATTCAATGAGTTAATAGAACACTGTCCAGCCAGATGTTAAATTTAAAAATGTATATCTAATCTATTTCAAATAAATAAAAAACCTTTATACATAATTACACAGTACTATAGTTTGAATTTGACAGGGGTAAATATCCTCTCGACAGAAAGTAAACAAAACAGCATTTAGGACTAAAAAACTTCACATGTCTTTGCAGTCTCTTCCTCAGGACAAATCTCATGGCCCATCTACACCAGCCTAAGTCAGGACTATTGAGTGAAGGCAAAGGCTACTGTGCATATGGAGAACTGCAGCCTCTGGCTCCAGATGCTCTGGGTTTTACATCAAAGACGACAACACAGGGGAACACTAAGGCAGTTACATTGGAGTTCCAGGGTAAGGTGGTAAGTCCCCATTGCTTTAATTTAAAATTCCTGGATATTCAAGGAAAGTAACTTATTTGGCTACGATATTGAGCACCATGCCTGGGGCAGAGACCTTAACAGGAGCCTAAGGCCTCAGGCCCTTGGGATTCCAGGAGAACATTAAGCAAGCACTGCCCAGGAACTAAAGTGAGGAGGAGACAGGTTATAGTCCTCTGCAGCTAAGCCAACACAACCACACACTGGAAGGACTTGGTACTGGGGAGAATGGGCCTCTGTGTGCATGGTGGGCATTCTGAGGGCTCAGGTGCATGGGATGGTATGTGTGCAGCTGGAAGAACTCCCCAATCTATCTCAGTCATTCTCCTGAGGGCCAAAGGTTCACAGATATCTCTTGCCAGGTGTGGCTGGTTGCACAAGCCTGTAATTTCAGCACTGGAAGGTTGAGGCAAGAGCATCAAGTTTGAGGCCAGCCCGGGCTATACAGTAAAACCCTATTACACATGCACAAACACACAAAATAAAAAATAAGGAAGGAACAAAAAGTTTTCTTTTGTGTAACTAAGACAGGGGTTTAATCTCAGCCTAGCCTCCCATATTCAGTGGTCAGGAAGGGCTGCAGGCCGTTTTTGATTTGTAAATGATGGACTTGAAGGGCTGCTTTCATGGTCAATTCAACCATGAAGTTTCCATTAAATGTGGAAAGAGCCAGAAACATGATGCCATCAGAGAAACTCCTCTTAAAGAACACAACAAAGCCAAGTCTGAGATTAAGGTCTGTTTCAGGGGTCTATCACAAACCCCATCAAGGAGGGAGGTGGACTGATGAGGCTCCCCCCAGAGACCACTCTCAGCTTTAGTTCTGCCACTAGTATGGTCTGGCTTTAGGGGATGGGCCCAGAGCAAGGGTGGGGTAGTCATTATCATAAAGGGTGAAAAAAAAAACTAGAGGCCTGAGGCAAGGCATGGAGGTGTCTGCTGCAGTCTCAACACTCAGAACACACAGGACAGAAGACCAGAGGTTCCGGGCCATCCTGGGCTATGTGGGATGAGCTTAGTGGTAGAGCGTTTGCTTACCATAGGTCCTGTGTTCCACACCAGCATTGTTTTAGAAAAGATGACCCGGAGATGACAACTCCTTAATAACCCCAAGCGCTGGGAGCTGGCCACAGTGAAATGAACTGGCTAGAGTTGTGTGCTTGAAGGAGTGAGGACAGGGCTGCACGCTCCAATATGATGGTCACTAGCCACATTTGGCCAGAGACCTGAAGTGGCTAGTCTGAACTAAAATGTATTTAATACACATAGGATTTCTAAAATTTAAAAAATTCAATAATTTCATATCAAAGTAATAGTACTTTTGGTAAATGTATTAAAATCAATACCATATGCTTTAAAAAATGTTTAAAAGATGTGTTCAGATGGGATAGTGGCACACACATTTAATCCCAGCACTGAGGAGGCAGAAGCAGGAAGTTCTCTGTGAGTATGTCACCAGCCCGGTCTATGTAAGGAGTAAGCAGTTAGGGTCACACACTGAAACCTCTTTTAAAAAGTAGTTATTAGCCAGGCGTTGGTGGCACATGCCTTTAATCCCAGCACTAGGGAGGCAGAGGCAGGTGGATTACTGTGAGTTTGAGGCCAGCCTGGTCTCCAGAGCAAGTGCCAGGATAGGCTCCAAAGCCACACAGAGAAACCCTGTCTTGAAAAACCAAAAAAAAAAAAAAAAAAAAAAAGTTATTAGAAAAGTTTAAATTACAGATGTGGCTCACATCACATTTATTGCAGACAATGTGTCCCTAGCTGGTGACACCAAGTTAATAATTTCCATTTGTAAGAGTTACCATTCAAGATAGATTGGTCTGCAGTTTTTTTGTTTTTTGTTTTTTTGTTTTTTTCCTTAGAACTTGCATATTGTTGACATAGAATGCTTATTACCCAGGCCCCTGCTTTTCTTAGGGAAGCATCACCTACTGTTTAAGAGTTTACCTATGTCTGTAATCCCAGCATGGGAGTGGGGGGGGGTGGAGGGGCGGTGAGGGGAGGGAGAGTGGAATTCAAGGCCAGCCTGGGCTAAGTGGAAAAACCCTGTCTCAAAAAAGGATCACGGCAAAACCATTTTAAGACTTCCAAAATAAGTAGGCTGTTTCCTTTGCAGAAGAAGTGCCCCCTGAATTGGATGTTACTCTGCCCAGGAGGTGGCACCCCTTTCCTGTATACCCCAACACCTCCCTCATCAAATACAAACCAATCCTAAACAAAAATGCAAAGGCTCTGAAGTGGAATTCTGCTTGGAGGGCTTCCTTCTGTGGAGCAAGAGGGTAAGTAGAAAGGACCATAGTGGCTGAGTCATGAGACTGAAGGCAGCCCAGGAGTGCTGCCCTGATGAAGAGTCTGGTCTTTGCTTAATAAACCATATTTTTAGGGTAATTACAAGTCTTACAAATTGCTTAAAAACACATTTAGTTTACAGGATGTTACAGTGGGGTAAATAATATGTATTATCAAAATAGTCTAAATAAATATTTACACAGTAGACCAGAACGGGTCAAAGAGAACCATTCTGATTTAACAGGTTCATTCTTTTTCACTTGAAGTTTTCTTTAATTTTTAAAAATATTTCTGTAAGAAAAAAATAATAAAATTTAACTATATTCAAATACATGAAGCTTCAGACCAAAGGAAGGAAACTGAGCCAGAGGCCAAACTCAGTCCCACACTGAGTGTGGCCAGGCACCAGTTATTTCAAAAGAGTTTCTTGCATACATCAGACTTCCCTGTTTCCAAGGAGCCTGGCTATTCTGGCAGCCCAGACTGGTAAGTGTTAGGATGTGCACATGTGGCCCACAGATACTCCCAGCCTAGCGTTCGCCCCCGAGGCATGAGAGGACAGAGCTCACTCCTCAGTTTTCAGGGGTGGGGGGAGCTCTATATGTAACCTGCAGACACAGAGCATGGAAAAAGCAGAACTTCACAATTCTCAGTAGTCACTCTAAATGCAAAAAAGTTTCAACACTGGCCTGAGTGAACTACCACAGTTCCGTACAGTAGGTTCGGAACTGATGACTCTTAGCTACCTCTAAAATTCTGACACAAGATTTTTTTTTTTTCAGCTCAGAGGAATAGGTTGAAGAATCCTTAGAAGCTCAAGCTAATTCTAGGAATATAAGCTTTAAAAGCACAGGCAGCTTTAGTGCAGAACACCCCCACAGACAGGAGGCGCTGCACTGCTGGGCCAGCTGGTTCCAACACACAACCCCAGCAGAAGCTCAGCTACTCGGGCTGCAGTTAGGCAAGCTGATTGCTTGGTTCCTTAGTTGAGTTATGCGCACTCTTATTTACACGCTGAAGCACTGGTCAGATGTTTATAACTGAGAATTAGACACATACAGCAGCTCTCACGTGGGTTATCTGATTTGACTATGGGCTGACTCAAGCTTGGTAGTTTCATGTTAAGAAACCCTGCAGAATACCTGCCTACAGTTAAATGGCAAAATACAGTACAGAGTGGGGCACTGTGGGACTCAGATTACCCCTCATGTGAATTCATTAAACTCCCTTACAAAAGTTTAAAACATCAGGTAAAAATACAGTTATTTATACCAGATGAGGAAAATGCAACATGCATGTAACTGCTTTAGTAACCTGCTGTCGCAGACGCCAGAGCTCAGGTCTGACATACTGTTAACATGTTTTCGTTGCACCCACAAAATTCCCTTTCCTGGGTGTTCTGTGACTGCAGAATCCCACAGGATGAGATGAAGGCTACACGGGAGCCATCTTCACGTCAGCTGCAAGCCTGCTCTTAGCCATGGGGCTTCGGTCTCTCTGATCCTTAGGATGGTCCCCACAGGGCTGGCTACATGTTATAAGCCACATAGATAGGGTCTAACTGGTCGGCCAGGAAGCTGTCTCGGAGGTGCATCCTCTGCTTCTCTCCTCTGGAGTTGATGGGGATCACCCCTGGGTCCACCACAACCACAACGCCAACGATGAGGTAATGCTCTTCTAGGACCACATTGGTCACGAGAGGAACCAGGTCCAGGGCTTCCTGCTCAGAGCCACACAGCTCCACAACCACCACGAGCAAGTTGGTCCATGTGAACACGGCACTGAAATCCAATGACATTCGGTTAACATTCATCCGTTAAAAATACTATTTTGATTTGACGAGTATGTGTTCCCCTGAACGTACATAAGTGCTCCATGTACATGCAGGGCCCGAGGAGGTCAGAAGACAATGTTGGGTCCCCGGGAACTAGAGTTCCAGATGGTTGTAAGCTACTATGTGGGTGTTGAGAACAGAACCTATGTCCTCTGCAAAAGCAGCAATTGCTCCTGACTGGTAAGCTATCTCTCCAGCTTCCTCATCTTTAAAATATTTCTTTTGTATTCATTGTGGAGAGGATACATGCACATGGGGTGTGCAGAGGTCAGAGAATAACTCGGGAGTCAGTTCTCTCCTTCCACATTTGGGTTCTCGGGATTCCATTCAGGTCGTCAGGCTTGGCAGCAAGTGCCTTTACCTTTCAGCAACTCGCTGGCTCTGGTCTTTTGTGCTATCTTCTGAGACTTACACCCATTCCCTATGAACTCTCTTTACTCCTGGATGTCAGTCAGAGGCAGCAACCATGTATATCAACAGCTGACTAGCTGAGCCTTCCAGCATTTTCTCAGAGTCTCAGAGTGGGACTGCCTGGAATGAGGACACACATACCTAATAGTTTGGGACTGGGTGGAAGAGCAAAGCAGCTGTCCAGGAAAGAGAGAATCAACACAGGTGATCACAGCTTCAGAGGTGGGAGAGGCAGTGACTCCTAATTGTGCACCTGTCCCTTGTTCTGAGACTCAGTCTTTACAGAAGGTAAAGATAGCCAGGTGTCCTTTCCATTTACTCTTCAACGTCAGTGTCTTTTGTCTTACATAGGGTCTCTTAAACTTTCTTGAACACAATGTCTGTTGCTTGCAGTGTTAAATGTTATCCATTGTGTAAAAGTACTGTGAGGTAGACATACTTTTCACTGAGCATATTTCTACATCAGAAAGTATAAGCTGGCTTTGGATACACAATGCTAAACAATTTTTAAAAGTATCCAAACATTAAAGATAGCTGTAAGTAATATATGGTTGTAATAAAGTCGAATATCTAAAATCAGTTATAGCACCAATGTCCCTACATGTTTTAGCAAAGTTTCCTCATGTAAAGCTGTTCTTGCTTTGATCAACCATGTTTAGGTCTGAAGAGAGGATCTGACCCAGGCAACCCAGAAGAGCCTTTTCTGTGTGGTCATCTGAGGCAGGACCCTTCCTTGGGTAGCCCAGGCTGGTCTACAACTGTAGATGTGCCTGTGTCAGCCTCCTCAGTGCTGCCATGCCCAGCAAAAACATTTTTAGACGAAGCAGTATTTGGAAAGCATGAGCACCTATCATAGAAACCTGGCTATGCAACAGGGGGTATGCTGGAGAAGGACACAGGAGTTAAACAGAGAAGAAACAGTAGGCATTCTCTATCATTAAGAACCCAGAAAAACACTTGTGAGGCAAAGGCAGGTGGATTGCTGTGATTTTAAGGCTAGCCTGGTCTACAAAGGGAGTTCCAGGACCGCTAGTGCTACAGAGACAGACCCTGTCTCAAAACAAACAAAGCCAAGAATGAGGTGCTCAGGAGATGGCCCAGTGGTTAGAGCACTAGCTGCTCTTGTATAAGATGGGAGCTCTGATTCCAGTACTATGTTTGGTGGCACATAACCGCATGCAAGTCCAGCTGCACGTGATCCTACATCCTCTTCTGGACTCCATGGGTACTTTTGTACATGTGGCATACACACACACCTACACACACACACACACACACACACACACACACACACACACACACACACGTTAAAAACAAAAAACCCGGAATGAAAACTAGTAGGTGAAACCCATTTTTAATTTTAATGAAATTTCTATCAGTATGAGGTTGGCTAATCCCTGGATATCCCTGTGATGAGAGAATCAGCTGAGATGGTAACCCCATCCTTTTCACCTGCTTCCTGCTGACCGTGTAAAACACACATGCTGATTTATCTTGTGGTGATCAGGAGGCACAAGGATGTTTGGAGAGGTGAGCCTTTATCATTAGTCATTTTTTAATCATTTATTTATTATACATGCGAGAGAAATCATGTGTGTATACTACAGCCCACATGTGTGGTCAGAGGACAACTTGTTGGAGTTGGTTCTTTCCTTCTACATATGAGTTCTGGAAACTGTACTCAAGTTACCAGGCTGGATGGTAAACACCTTACTTACTGGGCCACCAAACAGGCCCAGGGTGAGCCTCTAAACTGGGTCTTTTGAGCGTAAAGTCAGAGTTATTTCTACTACATTATACTGACTTCCTAGAGGCAAGTGATCTGCTAATTCTTCTACTTATGAAAGTCTGCCCTTATAAACTGACTCACTCCCACAGCGTCCCACCATATTCCCTAGTGGCTACAAAGCCTTTTTGGTTCTGGTGAACAGGCTTTAATGATCATAGTGGACCATGCAACCAAGATGGAAGGTGATTTACATATTTCCTTACTCTTGAAGGTGTTCCACAAGGGTAGGTGGGATTGAAACAAATGGGTCATTAACCAGATCAATTTTCATCATCACTAAAGCTAACGTGGGAGTAAGTGGTATGGGGAAATTACCATTCAGCAATGCTCCTGTGGACTCGGGACACGGAGGTCTCTATATCAATCGGATGGTATCGTAATCCTCGAAGCTCCAGTGTCTCATCCAGTGCTCCCACCACATATAAGGCGTCATGACGTTCTGAAAGAAGGAACAGAAACAGGCTTCATACACCTGCTAAACATCATAAAGTGTTGGCATTAAGAGTACAGGATTGATGTCTCCAGTCAGCTGTCTATGTCTCTGGACAAATTCCATAAGGTCGGGCCACACCTTTAATCCCAGCACTCGGGAGGCAGAGGCAGGCGGATCTCTGTGAGTTCAAGACCAGCCTGGTCTACAAGAGCTAGTTCCAGGACAGCCTCCAAAGCCACAGAGAAACCTGTCTCGAAAAACCAAAAACCAAAAAAAAAAAAAAATTCCATAAGGTCCTGAGCTCGGTTGTTTGCTCTATGAGACAGAAGTAAGGCTAAGTTGCTGCTGTAAGGAGTATGTTGTTTAGTTTGGATTGGAGAAGTCACTTGGTAGATAAGTTCCACATAAAGACTCTATATAAAGGTGGAAGGAAAGAACTGACTAAACAGAGTTGTCCTTTGACCTCCACATCTGTGTGGTAGTATGTATAAACACACACAATTATTATTATTATTATTATTATTATTATTATTATTATTATTATTATTATTATTATTTGGTTTTTCGAGACAGGGTT